AAAAAAAAAAAAAAAAAAAAAAAGAGTCCTTGTCATTTAAAGCTGCACAGTGAAATCCCAGTTGATAAAACAATGTCCCATTGCAGCTTCAAACCAGGGGTGCTGGGAAGCGAATGAAGGGGGTGCATGTGGTGAGCCAGCTCAGCGGTGCTGAGGCTGGGAGAGATGTGGGGTTCTTTACACGACCTCCTCTGGGCTCACGACTTCCCAGTGGGACAGGCAGAAGTGCTAGGGAGCAGCAGCAGGAGCACCTGGAACTGGCCAGTTCGGCCTAGCACCTTGGCCCCCTGAAGTGCTACCACACACTAGGACGCTTTGTTCCCGTTTCCTTCCAAAAGTCCCAGGCCAGTGAGGAAATGAGCAGCTATGGACCAGGGAGCTGGGGATGTCTGCTTTCTATCTCTCAAATGTCAGAGCTCGGTCAAGGTCTATTCCTGCCCTAGCAGGAAACAGGGAGATTTGGGGCAGAAGGAAGGGCTGCTTGACACCGGAGTAGGGAAAGGAAAGGTCTGAGGTCTGCCCGCCTCCCAGGGTGCCACGGAGAGAGAAGCAAAGTCAAAGTGAAACAAAAAGGTGCCCGCCCGAGGCTGGAAGTCTGCTGGGCTTAGGCCCTCAGGCTGCCAAACAGCCTCCCCCGCCACTGCTCTGATCTGCCACTTCCAGAGCCTCCCTTCCCACGTGATGGAAAAGAGAAGGATGGAAAGTGGGAGAAGGCTTGCAGCGGAGGGAGGGGATCTATATATATGTGAGAAGACAGAGGGACAGATTGTTGGGGACTGAGAGAGGCAACGAACCCACTGAGGCAAACAATAGCGTCTTGGGATGTTAAAAGCAGCTCAGAAGCAAAAGCCTCCTCCTAGCTCCACCTGCCCACGCCACCCATCCCAGCCCTGGGCTGTGGGAGGGTGGTGGTGCAGGGCCTGGATGCAGAGGGCGGGCCGGGGCCCAGGGGGCCCACAGCACTGTGCGGCTGTAAGACAGGAACTCAATAATCAGGTTTGCAGAATTCAAAAAAGGGGGCTCTGCTGCTACAGTGTGTGTGGGGGACTCGTTTGTTCCCAGGACTTTCCTATGTGGCCAAGTTCTGGCTTCCTAAGCCTCAGATTCCCACCTGCTGAAAGGCTAACAATGATCGCCACTGGGCCATTAGATGGGAAACAGCACTCAGGGTATACTGGGGGCGGGCTGGGGAAGCACACCGGAAGTGAGGGCCCACCCGAGCCTTGGCCTCACCTCCTGTAGCTGCCAAGGACCTAGGACCCACTGACTTCTGGCCCCAGTGGAGCTGAGCACACACTGAAGTGTGATGGCACACCGGTAGTCCCAGCTACTCCAGAATTTGAGGCAGGTGGGTCAGGAGTTTGAGGCTACCTGGGCAATTTAGGGAGACCCTGTTTCAAATTTAAAACAAATAAAAAAGGGCTGGGTATGTAGCTCAGTGGTAGAAGTTTGCTGTGCAAATCCCTAGCCCTACGAAAAAAACCCAAAACACTGCGTGGGTATCAGCTCACAGATCGTGTGACAGTCCACCCCAGCAAAGCAGAATTCTGTTCTCTGGGGATGTGGCAGGGGCTTTAGCTTCTAAACTCTGGGGAATCTCACCCCAGGGGATGAGAAAATTGAGATGCAGAGGGAGCAAGCAGCCTTAGCCAGGATGACCAGCAAACGGTGCCAGATGGTTAGTTCTCCCAGAGCTGGCAGGAGCTGCATCCAGAATTCCTCAAACAAGCCTAATCTCATGTCCTAACTTAATTTTCTTACAGGTTTCCCTTTTTTTCCTGACTCATCTGAAACTTCAAGGACAGGGCTGATTTAATTTTTAATTTAATTTTTTGCTTTGGCACAGTGATGGAAGTGACATTTAAAAAATTAATGAATTTTCATTGGTAAGTAAGAGCTATATACCTTTATGATTTACAACATGTGGTATCTGTGACATTATAAACAAACCAATCAAGCTGTATGCACGCATTCACTTCATGTCTAACCTGGTACCCACCCAGGCCACAGTACAGACCCTGGCCCAACGTTTATGCTCTGTACAGCGGAGCTGGGTGCAGTGAGGGCCTGGGAATGGAGCTGGCCTTCTTCTGGCCTCAAAGCCTGGGGCTCAGCCCTGACCTGGGCAGCCAGTCCCAGCACCCACCGGTGGACTACAACACCCACCAAAAGAGAAGGGCCAGTGAGTACATGAAAGTGACAGCAAAGCTCACAGGTGAGCAGGGGTGGAGGGGCAAAGCCCCCCAGATGGTGGAGGCTGCAGCTCCCCAGGCTGCACCCATCTTCCCTGAATCCACCTCGGGGGATGTACTAACTGCCAGATATTTCCTTTCTGCTTTTTAAATAGCAACTCCAGAACCTTCAGGACTAACATACAATTCAATGGTTCAGTTTAAGCAGGGTGTTCATTTGAATTATGTTAGCCCAGCCCCCGCAGAGAAAGGCCAAGCAGCCCCTCACTCCTGGAAACCTGGAGCCCCCTGAGAAGCGGGTAGCCTCAGTCTCCACAGTGAGCCAGAGGGTAAAGGCCAAGCCCAGGAGAGGGGGTGTCGGGCAGCAGGTGAGGGAGGCCGGCCTGGGTATAGAGTGCAAGTCCTTCATCTTCTCTAAGGGTCCTTCCTGTGTATTTGTGGGGACGGAATTCAATAATGAAACACCAGGCTTCAGTGCCCAGCACACAGGGAGGGATCAGCACTGTTAGCTGCAGCTGTGCGCCACCATTTTGGTAATCTGTGCTTTAGGAGAAAGGCAGTGATCACCCCAACACTTCAGGTGTGCGAGGAGCCTCGGCTGGATGTGATGGACGGACAGACGGAAGTGTGTACACAATACAGAAGGGACAGGGTGTGACGCCACTGGCTCTGCTGAGGGTGGCAGGAGTGTCCAGGCTGTGGGGACAGGGGAGGACGAAGGGCAGTGCCGTCTGCTCTACAGGCCTGGCTTCACACACCAGGGGCCCCTCGGGTCTGTGAAGCAGAGAGGAGGTAGCTTGGTCCCCCTGGGGGGCCTGGTCTGGGAGGGGGTAGGCGCGGCAGTGAAGGCAAAGCTGCCACAGGTGCTTGGGCCAGAAGGGCCCGGGCAAGGCCCGTGGGGTTCTGCCAGTCTCACAGGGAAAGGTCCTGGTCCCAGACAGCAAATGAGGGACACAGGGCACTGGGGCCCAGTATCTATGCTTTTCCCCATCCTCTTTGTGAGCACTGGAGAAATCACTTCCGTTCCTTGGGCCTCCATTCTGACCTGTCATGAGGCACAACTGCTGCCCTGCTGCTCAGGCAAGGGACTGTGTCTAGGGCACTGTCACTACCTTGTCTCATACCTGTGACAGAGCCTCAAAAGGGTCAAGAGGTCTCTGCCCAGGGTCACAGAGCTGGGTGTGACTTTTCAGCACCAACTCTGAAGCTTGCAGGTCTAACTGCTCTGCAGGGCCTTGTGGCGTACTGCTCAGACAAGTGAGTCCAAGGCGAGGGAGCCGGAAAGTTCTGTGTGAAGGCGGTGAGGTCCTCCCTGTGGGAAGATCTGCCTTCTCCCCCCGACAGCTCCTCGCCTGCTGTGCCCTCAGGGACAAGGTGCAGCCTACCTGGCTGGAGGGCAGCTCCTCATCACTGGTCTCGGAGGACCCCTCTGGGCTCTTTTCTGGGGGTGCCAGGGTCAGGGCGTTGCTTCTGGCAGTTTTTGAGGCAACATCCTTCTGCAAGGAAAGGACCTGAAGAAGCACATGAAGGGAATCAGCCAAGGGGAGTCGCACCTGGACAGCTGCTGGGCTGGCATGTCCCACAGCTCCGGGAATGCGCACCTCCGCCCTGCTCAGCGCCTTCCAGAGCTGACTCTGAGCCTTAAGGGTACACAATTCAGACCCAGCCAGAGCCTTGGGGGGCATGGTACCGATGGCCGGTGTTCTGAAGGAGGTGACAGCAGCCTGGGACAAGGCTGCAGGCAGGATCGCCGCATCTGGTTTTAATACTCCAGCTAGACGTGGGTGCCATGGAGACGGATTCCACAGGCTGCCATTCCTTCCTGCCACCTGGCCAGAGTGCGGAGCAGTCTATCTCGGGGACTCTGAAGTTGCAGGCCAGAGGAGACTTGGACAGCAGAGACAAGCCAGTGTTGACACTAATTCACTCCTTTCATCACTCAGCCCAGCCAGAAAAGTGAGACCTCGGCTACTGAGGCTTCCAATTTCTCCAAAGAAGCTGGAAGATTCTGATGTGTGCATGTCACTTTCCAATATTTTTGTTTGTTTTGAGATAGGTTCGCACTATGTATCCCAGGCTGGCCTTGAACTTGGGATCCTTCTGCCTCAGCCCCATAAATGATGGGATTACATCCCGATGGAAATCCCAACAGTATTATTTCACTGAACCAGAGAAAACAATACAAAAATTCATTTAGAATCAGTGGAGACCTAGAATAGCAAAAGCAATTCTAGGCAACAGAGACATGGCAGGGGGTATCACAATCCCCAACTTAAAATTATACTACAAAGCCACTTTGTCATTTTTAGAATCAGTGGAGACCTAGAATAGCAAAAGCAATTCTAGGCAACAGAGACATGGCAGGGGGTATCACAATCCCCAACTTAAAATTATACTACAAAGCCACTTTGATGAAAACAGCATGGTACGTATGAAAACACAGACCCAAAGATTAGTGGAACAGATTAGAAGATGCAGAAACAATTCCAAACATACTCAGCTACCTCATCTTTGACAAAGGAGTAGAATAGCAAAAGCAATTCTAGGCAACAGAGACATGGCAGGGGGTATCACAATCCCCAACTTAAAATTATACTACAAAGCCACTTTGATGAAAACAGCATGGTACGTATGAAAACACAGACCCAAAGATTAGTGGAACAGATTAGAAGATGCAGAAACAATTCCAAACATACTCAGCTACCTCATCTTTGACAAAGGAGTCAACCATCCTCACTGAAGGAAAGATTTACTAAGTGGTGTTGGAAAAACTGGATTTCAACTTGCCAAAGATTAAAACTAGACCCATAACTTTTACCATGCACTAAACTAAAATCCAAGTGGATTAAAGATCTAAATATCAAAACAGAAACACTAAACTTGCTGGAAGACAAGTTAGAACTCTTGAAGAAACTGGCATAGGAAAAGGCTTTATGAACATCATCAGTAGCATGGGAACTAGAACAAAGAATCAACAACTGGGATTTCATCCTATTTAAAAGCTTCTGTACTGCAAGAGAAATCACCAACAGAGCTAAGAGACAATGTGGGAAAAAAATTTTACCAGCTGTTTCTCAGACAAAGGTCTACTATCTAGAATATAAAGAACGCAAAACAAGAAAACACAACAAAAACACAGACCCTGCAAATATGAAGAACAAAATCCAAAAATGGGCATCTGAAATGAACAGACATTTCTCAGACAAAGAAGTAAAAGCAGCAAATAAACATATGAAAAATGTTCAGTATCACTGGTCATTCAAGAGATGCAGATGAAAACAACACTGAGATTCCAGCTCACTGAGAAAGAATGGCTGCCACAAGAAATCAACCAATAAGAAATGCTGGGGAGAAAGGAAACCTTCATCGTTGGTGGGAGTGCAGACTGGTGCAACCACTGTGGAAATCAATACGGAGATACCTCAAACAATTAGGATTACAATCCCATTTCACTCAACTATCCCACTGCTGAGTATCTTCCCAAAAGAATTAAAAGAATCAGACCACAGTGAAATATACTCACCCATGTTTATAGTGGCACAGTTTATAGCAGCTAAAACTTGGAAACAGCCCCAATTGCCCACCAGGTGAAGACTAGATAAAGATGTATTTTATAAAATGGAGTACTACTCAGCCATAAAGAACAAGATACTAGAGATATTTATAGCTAAGTGGATACACATTGAGGCCATACTCTTAAATCAAATTAATAAGACGTGTAAATACTGAATAGTTTCTCAGGTATGAAAAACTAAAAGTGTAAATAAGGATGAAAATGTGTAATTGATATTGTGTAATAGGAAGAAAAGATCTAAAAGAGTAGGGGAAGTGCGAGGAGTAGGGGAAAGGTAAAAAGGGAAAAGAAAAAAAAAAAGAGAAAAGGAAAAACATGTACCATGGATTGAACTCCAAACCTTGCACTTGTGAGGCAGGCACGATGCCCCTGAGCTAAATCCCTGGCTCTCCAAATTTTTAAATGGGGCAACCATAATGCACACTTCTGGTTGTCTCCCCAACAGCCTTGCACCCATGTCTTCCTTGCTCACAGAAACCCCACTATATCCTAGCATCCCTCACACAGGCTCTGGGGAAGCTGGCTCCTCCTCCTAGACAGGAAAATCACAAGCCCCTCAACACTGACCGAGGACAGGGGCAGGGCAACTCTGGCCTGAGACCTGGACAAGGAGACCTGAGGAATCCTCTCCTATCCCACAAGGCTGGTGGGACATGGATGCAAGAAACCGGGGTCACCACGGATTCCAAGCTGCTACAGGAACCACTTTTGCAGCAGTCTAACCCTGGAACTTCATGTACTATGGTGCAGCAATCAATTCCCTTAGGGTTTTTGCTTTTGTGTGTGTGAGAGACAGGGTGTCACTATGCAGTTCAAACTGGCCTTGAACGCCTTGCGATCCTCTTGCCTCAGCCTCCTGAATGCTGGGCTTAAAGGTGTATGCCACCATGCCAGGCTGTTTTAGCTCTTTTAAGTTAGGTTTTTCTCCTGGGGCCTAGCCACATCCCTAGTGAGACAACTCACTAAAACCCGAGAACCAAAAAGGATGCATAGGGCTATGCCCTCCATAAACACTCCGAGTAGCAGGCAACTAGCAACCTTCACTGCTGCACCTGCCCTTGTACAGCCCCCATGCATACTGCGTGGCGAAGCCAGCTCTACTTCACGGCTGGTGATCAGCTGGTGTTCCTTCAAGCTGTGCCCATACTCTTTTGGCTCTCAGAAACCAGACAGAAGACGTCCAGAAGGTTCTCTGATGATCCAGTCACCTGTCCTGTCCTTGAGGGCAGAGCCAATGTCTTTCATGTCCAACAGTTTGCACCCAAGGCAGGGGTTAAGGGTACGAGGATTTAACTTAATTCTTCGTGCTTGTTTCATGCACGAAGAAAACAGAAATCTAAGAGGGGTGGAGTGTGGCCCAGTGGGGCGACTTCCTGCTTCCTTTAAAAAACAGAAGATCTGGCCACAAGAAGGATCTATTACTTCTACAAGGTCATGACTGGCTGAAACCGACAGGGACCTCAAGTTTGTGCTACTTGCTACCTCCCTGCTGTCTTTTCTGACACCAAGGCTCAATGCTGCTTGTCATCTGCCAGCACTTCCCCACCTTCCCTGGGTCAATCATTTCCACCACATGCCTGGGCCCCAACTAAGCCTGTCACCCTGAAATTTGTTTTTGCAGGACATAGCCCTCTGCCTTCCGAGAGAAGAAAATTGTCTCAGTCAGTTTCTAAATCCTTTTCTCCCACCCCCAGGGCTCAGGCCCTTCCTCAAGAGAGAGAAGCCCCAGGCCCATGTGAGGGATGTGACTTCCTCCATCTCTTCAGGCACTGTGGTTCCTGGGATTCAGGCAAAAAAACTACAAACCCCTCCACAAGCCTCTTTATGACTCTCACCTGCGACTCAGCCCATGCGCCTTGGCGGGATTGGCTAGCTTAGCCTTTCATGGGACTGGTGTACCTGCCATATCACGGAGGGGATGGAACCCACAGGAGCGCCTAGGTGTGGGGTGTTTACAGCAGGTTTTACCTAATGATCCTTGAGTCAGAGCCTAAATCTGCTCTTCCTTTCCCAATGGACTTCAACTCAAGTTGCAACTGAGTGTGTGGCAGTGGACAGCAGGTTCTGCAGGTCTCACCTGGGCTGCACTCCTCACTGCCAGTGTCTCCCCGTCACTGTCCGACTCCTCACTGCTGCTGTCCGAATCCTCCTCCTCCTGGTTCCCCACCTGGGCCAGAGTGGCTGCAGGCCCTGTCCTCCCAGGGGCTGCTGGAGAGGTACCATTCGCAGGGGACCCCTTGGCAGGGGCTGAGGCAGCTCTGACCTGCGGGGTCTTCCCGGAGGGCTTCAGCTGGCAGTGACAAAGGCAAGAATCAGGGGAGGTGCAGAGGGGAACGACAGGCCCACGGGAGGCCTTTCTAGACAGAGCACAAATGTCTGCAGCCTCACCTGGGAGGGGTTCGTGGTTAGGGTCTGGGCTGCTGGTGTCTCACCGTCACTGTCCGACTCCTCACTGCTGCTGTCCAAATCCTCCTGCTTCCCCACCTGGGCCTGGGTGGCTGCAGGCCCTGTCTTCCCAGGGGCTGCTGGAGGGGCCCCTTTCCTGGGGGGTGCCTTGGCAGGGGCTGAGGCAGCTCTGACCTGCATGGTCTTCCCCGAGGGCTTTACCTGGTAGTGAGAAAGAGCATGATCAGGGGAAAGTCCTCAGAAGCAAATGACAGGCCCACAGGAGGCCTTTCAAGACAGGATATGGTTATCTGCAGCCTCACCTGGGAGGGGTTCGTGGTTAGGGTCTGCGCTGCTGGTGTCTCCCCGTCACTGTCCGACTCCTCACTGCTGCTGTCCGAATCCTCCTCCTGTTTCCCCACCTGGGCCTGGGTGGCTGCAGGCCCTGTCTTCCCAGGGGCTGCTGGAGGGGCCCCCTTCCTGGGGGGTGCCTTGAGGGGCTGGGTCCCACCTGGGCCTGGGTGGCTGCAGGCCCTGTCTTCCCAGGGGCTGCTGGAGGGGCCCCTTTCCTGGGGGGTGCCTTGGCAGGGGCTGAGGCAGCTCTGACCTGCGGGGTCTTCCCCGAGGGCTTTACCTTGAGAGAGAGGGAGAGAGGGAGGAGGAAGAGCCTGAGGGAAGGCCTGCAGGAGGCAGGGTGAACGGAGCTGTGCCTGAGGGCAGAGTCCTCGGTGCACCAGCAGGTCCTGGCAGAGGGTACAGCACGGGGCTGCTCCTGGCCCAGCCCTGGCCCACCTGGGTTGGCACCTTCTCCTCACTCTCTGAGGACTCCTCACTGCTCTCCGAGTCCTTCTCTTCTGACCCTTGAGTGGGACCCTCCTGGGCCCGGGCTGCTGTGGTCACTCCCTTCCCTGCTGCTGCTGCCTGGCCCCTTGCTGAGATGGTACTGTCCCTCGGGGTTCTCCCTGGTGACTTTCCCTGAAGCAGGAGATAACAGTATTGGGGAAGGAAGACGTGCAGAGCATGACTCCCTCTAGGTGAGGCCCCCACCGTGGCAGGCAGGGCACCGGTCCAGGTTGAGGTCGCTGCTGGGTCCTCCTTTCACCCCAATCTCCAATACTTCTGTGGCTTCTGGCCCCACTTGCCTTGGTAATGGATCCTGGTTTAGCTTGCGCAACCACAGTGACTGGTTTTCCAGGAGCTGATGCTGCCCCTTTGTTTGTAGATGCCTTGGTGGAAGCTGGGTTGGCTTTGGCTTGAGGGGTTTTCCCTGGGGCTTTTGCCTGGAAGGAGAAAAGGGAATTATGGGAAGGAGAAGGTGACATGCAAGAGTGCAGTGGAGGGCTGGGGATTTAGCTCAGTGGTTCCGCCCCCTGCCTTGCAAGCTCAAGGTCTGGAGTTCGATCCCCGGTACCAAAAACAAAACAGAACAAACCAAACCAAACCAAAAAGAGTACAGTGCAGCCAAGACCGCTGTTCTGGAACAAGATGCCCGAGCTTAGATTTGGCTCCTTCATGTAACAGCCATGTGATTTGAATAAACCATTTGATCTTACTGGGACTGTTTTCTCCTCCATAAAATGGGGATAACAACAAGGCCAATCTATAGTGCTATGGTGAGGATTAAATAGGAGATTTAGTGCTTAACATAGTGCCTGGCACATATTTAACATTCACACTCATTATAGTAAGTACTTTCCTTCATGTTAGCGGAGCGTAAGGCTACCTAGAACAAAGTTGTTTTCCAGATGCCTTTCAGCCAAGTCACCATGCTATTAAATTCTGATTAATGAAATATAAGTTGGGTGCCATAAAAGGCAGGTAAGAAATGTGTCTCTTTCTCCTCCCTGCTGGCTGGAATGCTGAGCTAGAGCTTGAGCTACCACCGTCAGGTAGCAAAGATAACAGACCACAGCGGAAAGCAATTGTTACAAATTTTCTTCAGCTTAACCCAATTGGGGGGGGCACCGGAGACTGAACTTGGGATCTTGCACTTGCGAGGCAGGCGGCAGAACCCCTGAGCTAAAACCCACTGAGCTAACCGAATCTTAAAACGAAATCCAGGGTGACCACAATGCCCGTCAGGGTCTTCAGCAAATCCAAATCTAGAGAGACGAAAGTGACAAAGAGGTAAATTTCCAGAACGACATTTCCCGAAAGGAGTGCGAACGAGGCCTGCTGATGTGAAACAGTGAGGACCTCAGGGCCTTGCCTCCCTTAGGGACGTCATGTGGTCAGTGTCAGAAGACGCCCCGGCCTCCAGCATCCCCTCTGTGCAAGGGTGAAGTGAGAGGAAGAGTCAGGGCCTGAGGGAGTCTCTGAGGAGTAGACTGTGACTGTGGGGAGCTCAGCACAATGATACGGAGTCTACCTTTTACCCGGATGTGAGAAAACAGAACGAAAGACACGAAGACCACCTTGTCTTGTCCTAGTAAGTCTCAGTACAGAAAAGGGCTGAAGTCATACAGAAAATGAACTCTCGCCACAGAAGATTAAATTAGCAATCAACAACAGAAAGAAACCTGGGTAATCCCAGATATTTGGAAATTAAACAACCCACTTCTAAATAACCTATGGTTCGAAGAACAAAAATAAAACGCCTACCTCATGGTACAGGTGGGAGGCTCAGGTGGGAAGACAGAGATTTAAGTGATCTGCACAGTGACAGCCTGGGGGCCCCGGGTCTGGGATGTGTCTGCAGCCAGAGCACAGGAGAGGAGCCTACTAGGCCTGCAATCAGGAAGGGCCCCGCATAGTTTAAAACCTCACTACAGGAATCTGGGGCCTTGGGAGCCACGAGTCAACAGTAAGAGAGGGACCTGCAGAAATGTGTGGTCTGGTACAGGGAAAAAAGAAATGACTCATTTCTGAGTGGTTATTGAAAAAGAAAAAAAGAAAAGAACAACAACAAAACAACAAAAAACAAGAGCAACAATTAAAAATAATCAACAGGGGGCGGGTGAGTGTAGGCAGTGAGATATCTTCACTTCTCACTGCTCTTCTGGGCTGAGAGGCCCAACTCTTTCTTCTGCTGTATCAATGTGGCCCACCTCAGTTGACAAGCTTGCCAGATGCAGGCCCTCCTGGAGGTGGCAGGTGAGATCCCACCTACACCCTCACCCAGGCCCGGAAGGGCTGATTTCCAACATACCAGAGTACCCAGAGGCCCAAAGACTGTCTCACTTGCTAGGTGTGGACCTGGGACAGTATAGCTTCAAACTGCTGTTATTTACCCCTACCCCAACGAAGCACGACCCCACCAGATGTGCTACTCGTGGCCTCCCCAAGCCAGGTGCCCCCTCCTCCTGGCCTCTGCACCTATTGCTTTCTCTGCCCGAATACTTTACTTCCCACTTCACCATGGGACTCAGTCCCTGACTTAGATGCCATTCTCCTGAAAACCCCCAATTGTGATCTCATCCTGTCAGCCTGGCACACACTCTCTACTGCAAATTGCCTTGCCCTGCTGCAAAAATTGTGCACTTGTCCACACCCCTTCCAGGGGGAGCTGTCTAAGCACCCAGTAGAGCGGTTACTCAGTAGGGCCTGTGGAAAGCACGAGAACCTGTGGGAGCCCTCAGAATCACAAAGGACATGAAGAAGGAAACGGGCACGAGAGGCTCAGAGGCTGCCAGTAAGCCCATGGTCAGCCCTGACTGAGCCCAGGTGGGCTGTCCTGGGCTGGCTCCTTCTAGGTCTCACCTGTGGTGGAGTCACGACTGCTGCCACCTCACTGTCGTCAGATTCCTCCTCACTGCTCTCGGAGCTTTCGTGAGCTTCAGCTCTGACCTGGGCAACTGTGGGCCTTGTCTTCCCAGGGGGCACTGGGGTGGCCCCTTGCCCTGAGGGCCTCTTGGTGGGTGCTGAGCCAGCTTGACCTTGGAGGCCTTTCCCCAGAGACTTTGCCTGGAATGAAAAGTGGGTGAGAGAGGGGTCTCACAGGAGCCCAGAGAGCCCGTGGGGCCAGGCCTGAGGATGGACAGGCAGACACAGGCCTCACCTGAGCCACTACTGCTGCAGGAGTAGCCTCCTCACGCTCCGACTCCACCTCGCTGCTCGAAGACTCATTCTTTGGCCTCTGGGTGCCCTGAGGCACCGCTGGGCACGATGTAGAAGTCACTGTACCCGCTTTCCAAGGGGCTGGGGTGCCCACTCGCACTGGGACACCCTTGGCAGATGTGGGGGTGAGGAGGGTGCTTTTACTGGGGGAAGCCTTGGACTGAGGTGTTTTCAGCTCTGGTTTTGCCTATGGGGTCAATGAAGACAGAGGCTGGGATAGGCTCCTGGATCCAGAACCCCCATCTGTTCTGGAGAGGAGCCCTAGGCTGTCCTTCTCACTGGCCAGAACCAAACTCTGACCACGGAGCAGAGCAGCAGCCCAGCTCCAGTAGGGCTGTGTGAGGGTGGTTCTAGGATTCCTCTTCCAGGGCTCACCCGAGCTGGAGTCACGGCTGCAGGTGCCTCCTCCTCACTGTCAGATGACTCCTCACTGCTCTCTGACTCGTCCTGGGCCTTTTCAGCCTTGACCTGAATGGCCATAGGCCCTGACTTCTGAGGGGGTTTAGGGGTAGCCCCTTTCCCCAGAGGCCCTTTGGTGGGACCCGAGGTAGGTCTGACCTGGAGGAGCTTCCCCGAGGGCTTTGCCTGAAGTGAGATACAGGATTAGGAGAGCGTGGATATGTACAGAGAAAAAAACCAAGATGGTACATCGAATCCAGTGGGATGGCGCAGGGGGTCAGCAGGCCACTGAAGCTCCTGGTGCTGAGTGGCAAAGAACTTTGCAGGAAGGGGTCTCAGCTAGGCCAGGGTCACAGCTGGGGATGCCTCCCCCCTCACCACCCAAATCCTCCTTACTGCTGCTCTAAGTCCTCCTCCAACTTCCCCAAGTGGGCCAAAGGGGCCGGTGGCCCTGCCTTCCTGGGGAACATGGGCTGGTACCCCTCCCTGAAAGCTCCATGGTGGAGGTAGGTCTGACCCATGGATTCTCCCTTTCCTCAAGGGTTTCAACTGGCAGCGACAAAAGGCAAGATCACAGGGAGGCACCCAGGGGGAACGACAGGCCCACGGGAGGCCTTTCTAGACAGAGCACAAATGTCTGCAGCCTTACCTGGGAGGGGTTCGTGGTTAGGGTCTGGGCTGCTGGTGTCTCCCTGTCACTGTCTGACTCCTCACTGCTGCTGTCCGAATCCTCCTCCTGCTTCACCACCTGGGCCTGGGTGGCTGCAGGCCCTGTCTTCCCAGGGGCTGCTGGAGGGACCCCCTTCCTGGGGGGCGCCTTGGCAGGGGCTGAGGCAGCTCTGACCTGCGGGGTCTTTCCGGAGGGCTTCAGCTGGCAGTGACAAAGGCAAGAATCAGGGGAGGCGCACGGGGGAACGACAGGCCCACGGGAGGCCTTTCTAGACAGAGCACAAATGTCTGCAGCCTCACCTGGGAGGGGTTCGTGGTTAGGGTCTGGGCTGCTGGTGTCTCCCCGTCACTGTCTGACTCCTCACTGCTGCTGTCCGAATCCTCCTCCTGCTTCCCCACCTGGGCCTGGGTGGCTGCAGGCCCTGTCTTCCCAGGGGCTGCTGGAGGGGCCCCTTTCCTGGGGGGCGCCTTGGCAGGGGCTGAGGCAGCTCTGACCTGAGGAGTCTTTCCTAAGAGCTTTGCCTAGAGAGAGGGAGACAGAGGAACCAGAGGATAAGTGTGTACAGACACAGACCCAAGAGGGGCAGTGACAACCCATGGTAAGAAGGGTGCAGGGCACATGCGGCAGAGGTCTCCTCCCAAGCCTCACCTGAAGCACAGTCATAGCAGCTGGTGTCTCCACCTCACTGTCAGACTCCTCCTCACTACTGCTCTCTGAGTCCTGTTTGGGGCCCCTTGCCTTGGCTTGTGTGGCTATGGGCCCTGCCTTCCCAGGGAGCTCACATGTGGCCCCTTTGCCAGAAGCTGGGGTAGCTCTAACCTGAAGGATTTTCTCAGATGTCTTTACCTAGAGAAAGAAAGGGCAGTGTACTTGCCTCCATCAGAAGTCCCAATGGTGACACCTTCAGGAGCTCCTGAAAACCCCTCACCTCCCCGCTTGCTGGAGCACCTTGCTGGTGCTCTCCTCACTCCCTGCTGCTGCTCTCAGGCTCTGTATGCCTTGGGGCTTGGTAGGGGTTGCAGGCCCTTTCTTCCCAGAAAGGTCCCTGCCACTTATCCCTGGGCCAGGCCTCTGATCCTTCAGAACCTTCCAGAGATCAGGGCTCAGCACTCCAGACAGGCTCTGCTTGGCCTGCTCATTTTCAGTCGAAGCTCACACCTGCGGAATGTCTCACGGCACTCACCAGCCTTTGGGCACAGCAAGACCACTCTGAGCTGGGTAGCTGGCTGGTGGGGGCTGCATCCTCAGAATGCCAGTTCTCCCCGTGCTCCCTCTGTGGGAACGTGCTGTGCTCCCTGCCAGGTGACTTTCCAAGATGGCCCCAGAGCTCCCTCTCTCAGCGTGTCTTCACCCAGAGGTCAACACCTGGGGCCTCCCCTGTCACACTATGTCCTGCAGCATCTGACACAGCACGGCCCCAGTCCTAGGTGTGATGTTTCTCCTCACTTACTCCTTCCTGTTCTCACAGCAATAGCCAGGGCATTGGGGGAAAAGGATTAGCAGGCAGGGGAAAGATCAGCAGGCAGAGGAAGGCAAAGATTTTTTTAACTGACCTGGGTGGGTTTGCTCATGCCTGTAATCCCAGCATTCAGGAGGCTGAGGCAAGAGGATCTCTGAGTTTGAGGTCAGCTAGGGCTACACAGTGAGGTCAAAGCTAACCTGAACTACACAGTAAGTGAGACAAGATTTTGCTATCCAGTTCAGGCTGAGCTTGAACTTAATGTATAACCCAGGATGGCCTCAAACTCATGGGGATCCTCCTGTCTCAACCTCCTAAGTGCTGGGATTATGTCGTGTGTCACCACATCTGGCATTATTCTTTTGGCTGCCATGCTGTTTACCTGCTCAGGGTCTGATATGGTCTGAGAAGCCAGAGGACCAGACAATTAAAACTTAAGTCTTCTCACAGCAGGACTAGCTGGGATGAGAACAGTAGGCCATTTATTTGACAGAGACACCAAGGCAAGTGGAGCGGTCATGACAGATTGGGACCCAGAACCCACCACCTGGGATCTGGCATTCTAGGCTGCATGGCTCAGAAGGGTAAGGTCCATAGGCACTGAAGCCACCAGCCCAGTGCTCTTGCTCTCAATGTACACATCGGTCTCCCCTCTCTCCCAAGCTCCAGGGCGACCTCTCTGGCAGAGGTGCTCATTACACAGTGGCTCTGCCAGCATCCAGGCGACGGAAAGTGGGGCTCACATGGCTGGTTGTCCTGGTAAGAGGGTTCCTCCTCATTCTGACTCCTTGCTGCTCTCCGGGTCCTCTTTTGGCTTCACAGCACACCAGCTGGGCTGAGGGCACCTCCTCTGGCCTGGTGCGTGCCATTCCCCACTTTCCCAGGGGTTGGGGCTGCCTTATTTGCTGAAGACTCCTTGGCAAGGGTCTGACCTGGGGTGTTTATACTGAGGACTCCGCCCAGAATAAGAAAATGAGTAACTGTTTCCCCTAACTGTGGAAGGCGCTTCACAGTTTATAGCCCCCTTCCAATACCATTTAATTTTCAACAACATCCTGAGACAAGATACTACCTTGCACCCATTTTCCAAGAGGTATAAATCTCTCAGGTCAACACAGAAGCTCCAGGCTCTCTGGCTTTGGGGGCAGAACTCTTAACCACCAGGCTCAGCTCCCGTGTGGCACACACTCCAGCCTGAGGGACAGTCTCGGTCGACAACACTTGGCTCCTTCAACTAAAGAGGCCGATCATGGTGGCCATCCTGAGGCCAGCCGAGGACGTCAGTGCCAGTGCACTACACTGGCTTGCTGAGAGACCATGGGAACACTCTTTCCTCCCGTGAGCTCTCTCTGACTTCTAAAAGTCTACATTACCATGGCTGTCCGTGAGCGCCTTTCCTCACCTCCATGCTGTCAGACCCTCCTGACCCAGGGCACTGCCCTCAACCCAGTCCTCCTCATCCACAGAGGCTGTGTCTAGACAATGGTTTCCAAGTGGGGGCAAGAGTGGCTCCCTTCTCTTTGGCAAGTCCTGGGGTGGTGGAAGTCAGGGAACAGCCCACGGCTAGGCCAGGTTACTGGGTGAGGTGGGACAACTCTTGGACACCGGGTCAATACATCCCTGACTTTTGTTGGTCTCCCTCCCTCTTCCTTCTTCTTTGGTCTTTCTAAAAGAGCTTTTGCACTGGACACCTTGATCCCTGTCACCACCATCTCCTGCCATTTGCACCCCAATTCTCAGCCCACCTCCCAAAGTGGTCTCACTGCCCTCCCACCCAGGCCATAGCCAGAAATCTCTGCAAAACATAAACCAGGCCACTTTACCTGTGCCTGAAATCCTGCATGGCTTCACAATGCCTGCAGAATGAAACTCCAACTTCTATGGTAGTGTTCTAGGAAGGGCAGCAGACCTAGCCCTTGTCTACTTGTGACCCCATCTTGTATCATTTTCCCCTTCATCCATAAAATTGCAGGTCTCTGTTCCTTAAAAGCACGAACTCTGCTTCTGTCCGTATATCTGCTGCCCCTCTGCCGGGGGCTCTGCACCAGAGTTGGGGTCCTGTAGCTGTCTCTTTGGTGACCATCCCTAACAGAGTTAAATATCTGAAGGGACCCTTCCTTTCCCATGGAGGCCAGATCCCCTAGCCACAGCGATGTGTTCCCATGGTCTGGCACTTAGCAGATTCACGAGGAATGACCTGTGAAGACCCCTCCCAGATCAAAGTTCAGAGAAGAGACAAGGCCACTGACTGAGAGGCCTGCCCAATTCTGGCCCGGTACCTACACTGGCATCTCCCAGTGGGCCCAGAATCCTCTCAGTAGCCTCACTCTGACCAAATGTGACAGCTACACTGCTGCCCAGGCCTGTGCTCCCGCTCCTCTTCTTCTGAAGTCCAGGCCCTTTCCCCCAACTCCATGTGCTCCGGGCCAGCTCTCCCAAGAAGCCTTGCTCTGTGTCCCTTCCGCGTAGCACTGGACTCTCACCCTCGCCCCCCGCTCTGCCCCCGCCTGGCCACAGCCTTCCCAGATCCTGGCAAAGCTGCGGCACTAATCTGGGCCCAGCGGTGTCTGAACCCCACCAGGCTCTTGGGACAGCCAGAGGTGTGGAGAAGGTCACTCTTCAGGATGGGCATGATTACCTCCACATCTGTTTCATCGCTGGAGCTGGAGGTGTCCTTGCTGGAGTTGTTGGTCTGGGCTGCTGACACTGTCCCTGAGGGATGGACACAGGGGACTGAGGTACATCTTCTCCACACTCCTTGCCCCACCCCAGTCCCAACTGCTGTCAGTCAGGAGCTAAGGCATTTGCTTCTCACCTGCATGAGGCTGCGGGTCTACCTTCTCCAGAAGCCCTTACCTGAGAGGGGAAACCCATGATATCCCTGTTTCCTGCACATCTAAGGCTCTGGTAAGGGCCAGAATAGGGACTCCAGAAACATGCATTGGCCTGACAGTTCATAAATGTTCTATTCACTACCAGGTCCACAGAGGCAAGGGCACAAATGCCTATTTTAAACAAGAAATGGACTCATAGGCCAGATGTGGTGGCACATGCTTGTAATTTTAGCACTCAGGAGGGTGAGGCAGGATTGCTGGGAGTTGAAGGCCAGTCTGGATTACCGAGAGCCCCAGTGGAGTCCCTGCAGCTGGTCCTCGCTGTCTTGGAGGCACACCTTTGAATCCCACAATGTCCCTAAGCTTAACAAAGCGTAGCTCTGGCTTATCTCCTAGAGGTGGGGGCTTCTCACCAGGCTTAGTAGTGGCTCCAAGGGCCCGGATGCTGCCTCCCTCAGTTTCCGAGACCAAAACAGTATTTCCGGAGGGCTCTGCTGACTTCTTAGGTGACTTCCCGGAAAGGAGGTGGACTACTGCCTTCCCCGAGGCAAGGTGTGGCACAGAGTTCACCGTTTTGCTGCCGTTCCTGGTCTTTGTCTGCAGAGCGAGAGGAGCAGGCCCACGGGGCTCAACAGGACGCACAGCGCAGAGCACCGCCGCCCACACTGGAACCCCCCACTGCTGCTTCCTAGCCAGGCAAGTTCGGGCAAACTGCCCTCACGGAGGCACCGCGAACACTGCATTACAGTTGCTACATGATAAGCAGTGGTTTGTTGGGTATTATCATTCATTCATAATCACTTTTATACATTATTGCCAGTGTTCCAGGTTTAAGGAACATAATGTTTTAAGGTCTGTAACAGTGCTCTATGGGTTATCAGAAAATACACTCTATTCTTGTAGTTCCCAATTTACAAAATGCCACCACAGTTCTAGAAATACAGCATCCTTTTCACCATGGTGCCTCTACTGCCAGGGCAGTGCCTGGCACAAACTGGGGACCGACAAAGAACTCCTCTGGGAACAGCTGTGTGCAGGGGCAAAGGAGGAACGAAACTGCCCAGCACAGGTGCTGTATCCAGCAGCCCACTGCAGCAGCATCACCTCCATCTTACAGAAAAGGAAACTGACAAGCGGAGAGTAGGAGGGACTCACCAAGATCCTACAGTAGGTGACACAGGTTAAGATCTTAGTCCAGGATGGGCCATACCCTTGTCTGGGCCCTTAAAGGGCACTTGAGTTCTCACATCCAAGAACTCGGAAAATGGTCCCACTCACCTTGGCCTTTTCTTTCACGCTTGATGGCAAAACCACCCCCATGGCTGAGGAGTTGTTAGATGCTGGTCTTGGGGCTGCAAGACACAAATGCCCACTGGATGAGGCAGGTGGGCTCTTCTCCAATTTTAGTATATGTGCTGCCGAAGTGAGCATGAGATGGGCTGTTCTCATGCAAGGATGGCAGGCGAGTTTCACCTCGTCTAATACAACTGGTCTCGGCTGCCTGGTGCTGGCATGAGGGGCCGAGGCTGAGCCCAAACTTGTGGCAGACAGCTCTACAATTTATCAGCTATAATCAGGAACACTTTATCATGTTACTAGGTCACATGAAAGCTCCATGTCTGCACCCCAGGGCCTCCCAATTACCCTGTGGGAGGAGGTGCTGAGATCCCCTGAGAGGTGAAGGATCTGCTTATGCTCTACTACCTACACCACAAAACACTGCACAACTCAGGCCACTGCCCTTAGCCCCGAAGGCCACTCAGCAAGAAGGGACAGTGGCCAGGTACTAGTCCCAGGCAGGAGAAAGATGCTCAGTTCTTGGTAGAGACAGCTGAACCACGAGACTAGGGCCAGTAGACACTAAGATCAATAGGTTTTTAGTCCCTGAAATAAAGATATAATCTTCTTGGGATCTCAGACAGAGAAATATTTCTAAGTTGTTAAAGAGCATGTGCTGAGATGAATGATCGAATCCTTTTCCTAGCACTTAACTCCATCTCTCCTCTGTCTATAATTATAAAAAGTTTTAAACACCTTTCTAAGTGGAGAAGAAGAATATGGAACCACACAGCTCCAACCACTATGGACTTGTGGCTAATTTTATTTCATCTGTTGTTTCATCTTCCCTTCTCCATCATGCATTATTTTGAAGAAAACACCAGACACCTTGTCATATTGCTCACAAATACTCTGACCTGTTTTTCTCAATGAAGACTCTTAAAAGTATGATTATAACTGATTTTCACAGCTTTAAAAATGGAGGGAATGGGCTGGGTGTGCCACACACACCTGTAATCCCAGCACTCTGGAGGCTGAGGCAGGAGGATCACTGTGAGTTCAAGGCCAGCCTGGGCTACATAGTGAGTTCCAGGTCAGTCTCAACTACATAGTGAGACCCTGTCTCAAAAAA